AGAAAGAAAGAAAGAAAGAAAGAAAGAAAGAAAGAAAGAAAGAAAAAAGAAAGAAGAAAGAGAGAGAGAAAGAAAGAAAAAGAAAGAGAGAGAGAGAGAGAAATGGGTTCATTCGGTCAGTCTATTAAAAATGCACACTTGCTTACCTAAAACTAATTGAATATATTATTTTTCACTCACTGACATATTCAGAATATAAAGTTTAATTCTTTTTACATGTCACTAACAGTTTCTTAATCTTCAGATTAAATACCTATAATTAAATACAACACTGAAATTCTTCCAACCTTTTAATTTGCAAACACTCCATCTGGCATTATTAGAAATAAATACATTTGTTTTTGTGCTTAAAAAATACAACACAGCAAGTAAACAATGACCAGAAGATAAATTCAAAACATATTGTAACAATTCTTCTTTCTCAGAGTTCTCAGGGAAAAGGTATCAGGTTTTCTTAGTTTTCTATTACTTCTTTGATTTAGGGGAATGGAGTTTTTAGATCTTTGGAGACTGCAAACCTCAAAGAAACTAAAGCACAATGAATTATTGTTTTTAGTACCATATGACCAACTTTTTATTAGATGGGGTATGATGATTCACAAAGAAAAAACAAAGCACTTTATAGTTTCTCTCTGCTATAATGACTAAGAGCTTTCATTTTGCATTTAAACCAAGAATACTAGAGAAAAAAAAAAATCAAACTCACCCAAATAAATTATCACAATTTGAAAGCATCACCAGGATATTTGGGAGTTCGCGGAAAACTACTTTAAAAACATTTGTTATGGTCAGTTACACATTCATTTAACAAATATTTACTCATCATGAAACCATGTGCCCATTGCCTATTTAGGTGACTGGAATACAAAAATAAAGCAGAAACTGCTGTCAAAGCACCCAAAGTCTAGCAGGGGTATTCCAAAATGTAAACATGGTCAATTTTCCATTGTGCCATATTTCATTGAAATGTGGATAGGGAAAAGACAGAGGTTAATATGAAGATATGAGTCTACTTTCAACAACCTTTGTGATTCTCACTCTAATTTAATATACAACAACAAACACTATTTTTTAAAAAAGATCTCTCAGATGTTCTAAAGATTCCAAGATAAGCCATAGATGCTACTTCCCTGAAAACACTTAGGAAAGACGTTACAAGAGGGAGACACTCCTCAGAATAAAATATAAAGCAATTAATGGTTATGCGGTGTGCCTTCCAAAGAAGGCTAAAATTTTTGTGGATCATGCAAAAAAAAAAAAAAAAAAATCCCCTCCCCCCAAAAAAGGAGAAAGGAAGGAGTACGTACAATGTGGCATATTAATAATTGGTGACTCTAGAAGAAAACTATTGAAGAGTTTTCTGGACTATTCTCTCAATTTTCCTGTAGTTTAGATTCTTCCAAAGTAATGAGATATAGAGCAACTTTTTTAAATGAAGCGCATGTATCATTAAATCAAATAGTGTCATTCTTTTATCAAATTGAGAACAATATTTTAGATAGAAAATTATTTATGTATTTTTACTAATTTTATTAACATATTTTGAATCAATGTACCATTTAAAGGTTTATTTACCCAAAAAAGATGCCCACTATATGAATGGACATAGTGATTTCTGAAAATACTGAATGCTACATTAAAATCCATTGGTTAGGAGCACCTGGGTGGCTCAGTCGTTGAGCATCTGCCTTCAGCTCAGGTCATGATCCCAGGCTCCTGGGATCGAGCCCCGCATCGGGCTCCCTGCTCCGCGGGAAGCCTGCTTCTCCCTCTCCCACTCCCCCTGCCTGTGTTCCCTCTCTCGCTATGTCTCTCTGTCAAATAAATAAAATCTTTTTAAAACAAATAAATAAATAGAATCTTTAAAAAATAAAATAAAATAAAATCCACTGGTTAACAGCAGCACAGAAAATCTCAATGCCAAGAAACTGAGAGTAATCTTCACCATAAAATATGTTGCTAACAGTAAGCCCTAGAGAAATGAGGGAGAAGAAATCTGAGATCCCAAGAAGAAGAATGAAAAATAAGTGCTAAAGCTTAATTGCTATGTAAGTGCCATACAAAAGGGGCCACACAATGAGGAAAAGGTTAAAGTCTGTAAAATACACATCTCTTACAAAACCATTAAGTTGTGTTTAATATCCTTATTATGTCATTCTTTCCTACCCAGAGGCTACAGCAGATCGTTTTTTCCCCAATGATGGCTGCAACGCTATCTCCCATACCATGTGTTCACACTCCAGATAGATCTCTTTTGCCTCATCATGCAGCACATGAACCTCTTCTCAAAGTAAGGCTTAAAGTGCAAACAATGAAAATGCATAGGACTGCACAGAAAACAAATTATACTGAAATACAGGATTCAAAATATTTTCTAAGAACAAATTTGGGATATAATGCATGGGGTTCTTTACTCATAACAAGCTCCAACAACAAATCTAATAATCACTGTTACTTCGAGATACATTATCACATTACAGTTGTTGAAGATATGTGATTTCCAAGGTGGAAAAAAGTTCCAAAGATAATACTACTATTGTAGTTCACTGCCTGCATTGGAGGAAACACTAAATCCCACTTAGAGGTGAAAGAAATAGGTCCTTTTTCCCTCTCATCCGGATGTATAAACCTCCTCTGAATTTTATAGGACTGGGAACTCAAAGGTTAAGAACTCATGATCTAAGGTATAAACTTCATGGAGGAAAGAAATTTTTTCTGTTTTTTGTTCACTGCTATATTCCAGGAACACTACTAAAATGGTGCCTGTCACACAGGTTCTCAACAAATATTGTCAATCTATGCAATGAGTTAATTCTTGCGGTCAGTCTCTGGTACCAGTGTCACTCAGAGTAAGCCTGGGGTTTAAAGAGCAATATATGTCATCTCTCATCACCCCACAACACAACCAATTAGTTTCTCTGATGCTCAACTGAAGAAACAATGGTGTTGTGGGACAATTTTCTTCTAGAGATAAAACCATCCATGCAAGTCTGCAACCTGGTGTCTTCTCAAAAGATTTTAAAGGGTAATGTATTGCTTTCAGGAAATTTTTACCTTACTTGTTCACTTGAGAACCTAATTCCTGAATTTGGTGTGTATTGGACAACTTTCACTCCAACTGCTCTGGACTCTGTCTTTGAGAGATGTGGGGGAGTGGAGAGGAAGGAAAAGCAAAGGAAGGGGAGAAAGCAGAACCATCTAGAAGACCACATTACTTCTGGGTAGAGAAAGAGCACCGAAAGGCAACATAACACGATAATTAGTCATTTTTGTCCCCTCCAACCCTCCAAAAAAAATGACAAAAATCTCTTCTGCCAAACCTGAAAATCAATAAAAACGCAAACCTAAATAGAATCCCCTAAAACCTGTTTGTACTAGGCAGTTTTTTTAAAAAATTATTTTTTAATCACTATGATGTTAACAATGCACTGGTTTTTTTTTAAATTGTTTTAAAAATTACTTTTGATTCCTGAAACTAGAAACTAGTATACTAAAAAAATGTGGTCTACATTTACAACAGGGTGCACTGTTATATAAAGGACGTTTAGTAGTTTCAAATTCAAAAGGAAATACATTCCACAGTAAAAAATTATCAAAGTAGTTCACTATTTTTATAGACAAGCAATGGAAAGCAAGTGCGTACTAATACATAAACAAATGAAATCATGACTGCCTTTAAATGTGTTTGCTTCAAATCTCTGACCACATTCAGAATATACAACATCAAATGTTAGTAGCTTTTGCCTAGAAAATAGAATCGTGACTGTAATTTTAAAAAAATACACTGTAAAAACAAAAAGATAATCCTTTGTTAAGGTTTAAGAAAGTAAAAAACCTTCCTATAACAGAATCATCATCAAAATATAAACAAGGAAGTTTTCTGCATAATTTCCATTTTTTCCCATCTAAAAGTAAAAATGAGATGGTTATTGTAATTATTCCATTACACTTCTGGTATCTGTTTACTTGTCAGTTTAATAAAACTCTAGTAACTGCAATTTTCATCAAAAGTATATTTTGGACAGCACCTCACCTGGTCTCTTCATCATCCCAGGCGATTCGCATGCCTTTCCCACCACCACCTGCTGAGGCCTTGATCATGACAGGGTAGCCTAACAGCAGGGAAGAATTAGACAGAAGTTCAGACTTTGATCATCTGGATGCATGAACATGACAACTGACCACATGTTCAATAACGCAGAAGACAATAACTAATTTATCTAAAAGTTCCTTTCTTTAGAATCAGGAAAATAACACCAGTGTAATGAAAGAAAAGGACTATTTATAGCTATAAATGTAACATTTTCCCCAGTAATGAAATAAAGAGCTAAGGAAACATAAATAAGTTATTTGACAATGGATTCCAAAAATGGAAGTAGATATAGTATTACACAGCAAATATAAGAAGCAACTTTTATATAATATTAAGGAAACACACACACACAATATTCCCCAAAAGTTCTGTTTGCACGCATAACAAATTAAATTCCCTTTTCCAAAAGTACTGATTCACAGGTATTTGAGGCATTTTCATTTGAAAAGTCACAGAGATCCTCTACAGCTTTTATCAGCAAGAACTGACACAATGATCTGGGGGGAAATCAAGTCACACGGTTATTGTATTATGGGTGGAAACAGAAGCTCTAGGACTCGCTGTTATCGGTGAAGAGCTACCGTACTATTTCCACGCCTCCAACAGGGAATGTGTACGCTAGCAAGTAAGATGAAAGAAAAAGTAAGACCCAAACAAATGACATCTCCAGCTAAAGTTTTATAAGAGAAAATTAAATCAGAAAATTGTTAATAAGTATTTAGATTATCATAAAGTAAAAATTTTGACAGCTTGAGTCACCTCTATACCAATTTATCAAGAAAAACTTTAAAAATAAATGTCCTTGCTTAGAGATTTTCTGAAAACAAGTGGATACACTCATGTCTGAGACACTTGTTTATGATCTTTTCTGAAGAAAAAGATCAGTGAGCGCTTAAAAGGCTCTTCCCAGCCTCTGATGCTCTAACAACACTACACTCTAACTATAGGATCTTAGAGAAAAAGGAAGAGAGGGCCAAATGTCATAGATCTTTAACCCCAAAACCACAAAATATTACTCTTAACTTCAACTGAGTTAAAATGGCTCTTGCTTTCTGTTTCATACTTAATTCAGTTTTTATAATTCTGATGTTGGTTATGTCTATGTGGGACAGCATTTTAAAAGCAATGCTAAGTGCAGTGAGAAGAATGATTAACATACTTTTTTCACTTCGGGAGCCTTAGAACCTAGGAAGAAAAAGGGAAAAATACTCCAGTAAATCTATCATCGGAAATTCAGAAGAGAAAAGTATCATAGGAAGGTAACAGAAAAGGGATTAAGGAAAGCATATTACAGCAAGAGCCATTTAAATGAGGCTATGAAGGATGAGCAGGATTTGAACATTTTAGTCAGGAATACCAGGAATTGGTTTTAAAAAATGACTGAAACAATCCAGCTGGACAGTATCCGCGGGATGGCAGAAGAAAAAGAGAATTAAAATATAAATTAGGGAGAAAGTATGCTTCTCACTTTTGCATGCCAAAGATCCTGCATGAGAGTGAAAAGCAGAGTATTTATTTGTCTCCTTCAGTGCTGTAGCCTCACAATGAATGTCACATAAAGGAATCAGACTGAACTCATTAAAGAAGAATTAGCCTGTTTTGGAGCAGTGAAGAAATAATATCTAAAAATTAGAAACTGGCATGCCTGAGAAAACGTTTTTACAAAAATTTAAACAAATGAGTCCATATGCCAAAAAAAAAAAAAATGTTATATCAATTCACCATCCAAAACTATTTATCCATATAAACAGGAAACAGGAAACCACAAGAGGTAAGATATCTACATCCCTTATCTCTGTTTTCAGTTTCCTCTGAGAATTAGGAAATTTGCAGTTATTCTGATTCCGGTATTAATCTCATCTTAGTTATTTACTATGGACCCTGGACTATACAATGATTTGTGAGATTCAAAGTAAGACTGGGAAATTGTCCTTGGTCACAAGAAACTAGATGGAGAAACAAAACACAAAAAGTAATTTGTCAATGAGAAATTATTATATGTTCAGAAAAGGTGAGATGTTGTTAGGCAACAGGGCAGTGTGTAATAAGGCAATTACAAAATGGTCCCCCCAAATGGAGGCAATGTAGCATTAGACCTGTCAATACATATAACCCAGAAAAACAAGATTCCCTGACGAAACAAGCCAAATATAACACAACTGTAATATATTTCACTGTATAAACATACTGAAGCATTATCTATTCTACTATGAATAGACATTCAGACTTATACATACAATGCTCCCATGAATATTTCTGAATGTGTTGCTTGGAACCCTGTGCAAGAGTTCCTAGAGTATATGTCTAGGACTAAAACTGTTGGATAGTATGCAAGTTATAAAGTCTTTATTAAAAAATCCTATTTCTGGGGCACCTGTGTGGCCCAGTCAGTTGGGCAACTGCCTTCAGCTCAGGTCATATCTCGGGGTCCTGGGATCAAGTCCCGCATTGGGCTCCCTGCTCAGTGGGAGGCCTGCTTCTCTCTCTCTCACTGCCCCCTGCCTGTGTTCCCTCTCTTACTGTCTCTCTGTCAAATAAATAAATAAAATCTTTAAAAAAAAAAAATTCTATTTCTTCACTATTCTTTATCTCCATGACCACAACACTTACACAAACTACCATCACATATGTCTTCATAGGATGCCTGCAGTAGCCTCCAAACACAACTTCCTATCACTACTGTTGGTCCCCTCAAACTATACTATTGTCACTGGAATTCTTCAAAAATATATATATAAGATCACCTCTCTCTCCTGCCTAAAACATTAAGAGTTTACATTGTACCAAGAAACCACAGATGTTTAATGAAATAGAAATTATGAATTCAAGGATAGGAAGCATGGAAGGTAGAGAGAGATGGCCTAACATATACTTGTTGAATCACAATACCAGGTAAGGCTATGCTTGACTTGAGCCAAGAAAGCTCTTTAAAAAAAAAAAGAAAAGAAAAAGAAGAAGCCTAAAATGTATTAATATCAACATCAATTAACTGACCTATTACCTTAACACATTTTTACTCAAAGATGACAAAATCCAAACACACAACATTCACAATGTTTATAATACAATCAAAAATTAAGAGACATGTGGGGGCGCCTTGGTGGCAAAGTTAAGCAAGGGCTCTTGGTTTCAGCTCAGGTCATGATCTGAGGGTCGTGAGATCAAGCCCCACCTTGGGCTCCACGGGGAGTCTTAAGCAGACTCTCTCCCCCCACCCCACCCCCTGCGGTGCTCACTCTCACGAATGCTTGCTCACTCAAATAAATAAATAAATCTTAAAAAAAAAAATTAAGAGACTTGTGAAGAGGGATGCCTGGCTGCCTAAGCCTGTAGAGCATGTGATTCTCAATCTCAGGGTCATGAGTTTGAGCCCCACACTGGGCATAACAATTACTTCTAAAAAAGAGACAGAGAAACACAGGAAGAGAGGGGTAAAATATAATCCACCTCAGGAAGAAAACAGGCAACAGAAACAAACCCAGAAATGAAGAACCTTAAAGAACCTATTATAAATTACAGCTATTACAAACACTATAAGTATGGGAAAGGATTTCAAGAAATTATCAACTATACACTTCAAGAAAAGTATTTTTTCTGGAGTACCTGGGTGGCTCAGTCGGTTAAGTGGCTGACTCTTGATTTCAGCTCAGGTCATGATCTCAGGGTCCTGGGATTGAGGCCCATGGCACAATCCACATTCAGCAGAGAGTCTGCTTCAGGATTCTCTCCCCTCTCCCTTTGCCCATCCCCCTGCTGTTTGTTGTGTGCTTTCTCTCTCTTAAATAAATCTTTAAAAAATTTTCTAATAAAGAGAAAATGATCATGGTGACAGAAATAGAAAATATAAAAAAATTAAAATTTGAATTCCTAGGTATAAAAATAACCAAAAGGAAAAAAATCCAACAATGTATAAAAAGAATTATACCATGACCAAGTGGGATTTATTCCCAGGATGCAAGGTTAGTTCAACACTCAAAAAACAGTTAATGTAATCCATCACATTAATAGGCTAAAGAAGAAAAAATATGACACAACCATATCAGCAAATGGAGAAAAAGCATTTGACAAAATCCAACACCCACTGAGTTCAGCACACTATGAATAGAAGGAAAGTTCTTAAACTTCATGAGGAACATCTACAAAAAGCCTACACCTAACCTTATACTTAATGGTGAGAACCTAGATGCCTTTCCCCTAAGACCAGGAACAAGGTAAGGATGTCCTCTCTTACCGCTCCAATTCAATGTCCTACACAAGTTCTATTTTATGCAATAAGACAAGAAAAAGGTAAACACATAGGGAAGAAAATAAAACTCTTCATTAGCAGGTAATATGATTTCTATAATGAAAACCTCAAAGAATCAACAACAACCACCACCAAAAAAATCCAGAACTAGTAAGTGGATTATAACAAGATTACAGGATACAAGGTCAATGTACATAAGGGGATTGCATTCCTATATACCAGCAATGAAAACTTTGACTTTAAAATTAAAAACACCATTTACATTAACAGTCCCCCCCCAAAAAAACCCAGGCATAAATCTAACAAAATATGTATGCTACCTATATGAAGAAAACTACGAAATTCAAATGAAATTAAGGAAGATCTAAATAAATGGAGAAATATCCATGTGTAGGATACCAATTCTCCTCAGCCTGATCTATAGATGCAATGCAATCCCAATCAAAATCCCAGCAAGTTATTTTGTGGATATCAACAAAATGATTTTGACATGTATATAGAAAAAGCAAAAGACCCAGAATAGCTAATGTTAGGGGAGAGTAACAATTTCAAAGGATTGGTATTGCCCAACTTCAAGACTTATTATAAAGCTACAGTCAGCATGGTACTGGTAAAAGAACAAATCAATCAATGGAACAAAGTAGAGGGACTACAAATAGACACACACAAATATAGTCAACTGATCTCTGACAAAGGAGCAAAAGCAATTCAACAAATGGTGCTAGAACTGGACATTCATACACAAAAAAGTGAATCTACACACAATCCTTAAA